AGACGTCGTTTTCTATAAGACTTCCTGGAGTTGGCATAAGGCCATTCATTCCGTTCACGTTGAACATATCAGCCATCCATTCATTTTAGGATCTGAATAGTGTTCCATTTTGTAACCCTTTTGCTATTTGACCTGGGTTTTCATCAGGGGTATGTATCTGTTTATTATTATTATTGACAACCATTTCCAGTGTGATCTTCTCTCCTTAAGGAAGTAGAGATACTTCAATTTTTTTTCGTTCATCTTTCTACCCAAATTGATGTCAAGGATTCTGCAGACTTAGTGCCTAGGATTGCTTTAGCACAGAATAGGTAGGAGCCGAAAGAGTCAATGAAGGAGCTCATGAACGGCCTTCCAGTACTGATAATTTAGACATGGTATCTCAGTTTAGTGACATAGTGGGATAGTTTATGTATGCTCAACCCAGGGAGTGGCTCTTTTAGAAGGTATGGCCCTGTTGGAGTAGGTGTGTCACTGTGGGTGTGGGCTTTAAGACCCTTATCCTAACTGCCTGGAAATGAGTCTTCCACAAGCAGCCTTCAGATGAAGATGTAGAACTCTCGGCTCCTCCTGCACCATGCCTGCCTAGATGCTGCTATACTCCCACCTTGATGATAATGGACTAAACTCTAAACCTGTAAACCAGCTCCAATTAAATGTTATCCTTATAAGACTTGCCTTGGTCATGGTGTCTGTACACAGCAGTAAAATCCTAACTAAGACACATAGCAAAGACATAGCAAACTCTTCCAGGTTCTGGCTAGATTTGTCTGATGGGGCACTAGGACATCTACTTTTGAAGATTTAGGTAGCTAACCTGGCTGACACCCCCTCTCTCACCCTGGACCTTTGGCCACCGTCCTTTTGCCCACCCCAGACACCACGATTATGCTTGTTCCTGTCAACTACCCACAGAGGTGGGCTCTGCCACATCAGCAGGCCTGCTCCCAGTGGGGTACCCCTCCATTTTGATCACTTCAAGGGTCTTGAGGAGGCTCCTCCTTCCCTCTAGTCTTTGAAGTGAATGGTTATAATCTAATATCTGCAACCTCTTGTGCTGGGGTCTGAATTGAATGCTAGCCAGCAGTATCCACGTTTGGATGGCTTTTTGGTATCGACAGAACATACTCACTTCATTATCCCATGTCAATCCCCAGACAGCTCTACCTATTATACAGCCTTTGGCTTCTTAGTTTCTAAAGGGTGTAGCCATAATGTTTTTGTGTATTGTGAAAAGGTCATCCTTGTGTTTTTCAAATGCAGATTTCTCTTCCCTCATATCTTGTTTCTATCTGACACAGCATTGTAATGCTTTTACCAAGAATCTCCTAGCTCAGGTTTGTGTAAACAATTCTTACCATTTATTCTCTAACAATTCTTACCATTTATTCTCTGCTTTGTTAATAAATGCTGATCACCCAATGACTGAGGAGAAGAGAGAACAGAGTGGAAGCTTCTACCAGCCAGGAAGAAGGAAGAAAGAAATACAGAGAGAGAGAGAGAGAGAGAGAGAGAGAGTTTCAGATCTGTCAGGAGAATGAAGAGATTGGCCTGAGGAAAGGGTCCAAGAAGACACCATGAGGAAAAAAAATCTGAATCCCAATATGCAAATATAGCATGCAATAATAATATGCAAATATCATGGTATGGGGGTGGAGGTAGCTGGATTAGCTTAGGGGGTTATTATAAATCATTTAACTGCTCAGTATTGGGGTGTAGCATGAAATAAATCTTTGTTTCTCTGTGTGGTAACTTGCAAGGGTAAAGAAATAACAACTGATGGATTAATTTATTATTTATGCTTATATTTAAAAAAATCATTAATTTTACAAAAGGGAGATACAGAAAAGAGGGAACTCCATTTGCTCTGTATATAAATGCTGCTGCCCCCATGTCGTCCAGAGGTTTCTAGACTCCTCTGGGACTTGTTCAAAAACATTGGTGCTTTCTCCACTCTAAATGCACATTAAGCTCACAGAGGGGCTGGGAGGGTGGCAGATGGGTAAAGAGCTTGGCCTGCAAACTTAAGGCAAAGTTTGAATCTCCAGCACCAACATTGAAAAACTGGGTACCCCTTGCCAAGGCCTGGGAAACATGGCCAAAGAGGAGGCAGGAAGAATGAAATGCTGGGGGACTAGGAGGACAGATGCTGGAGGACTGGGAGGACAGATGCTGGGGAACTGGGGGGACACATGTTGGAGGACTGGGAGGACAGATGCTGGAGGACTGGGAGGACAGATGCTGGAGGACTGGGAGGACACATGCTGGGGAACTGGGGGGACACATGCTGGAGGACTGGGAGGACAGATGCTGGAGGACTGGGAGGACACATGCTGGAGGACTGGGAGGACAGATGC